CAGATAATTGCCTGTTTTTAAAATTAATGCACAAGAGTAAGTTTTAAAATCATGATTATGCCATTGCGACTTTCAGAAGCAATCTTGTTTCATTTGACAAGTGTCTAACACTAATTACACTAACAAAATGCAAGTCAAGGAACTGGTACCAGCTTACCTATGTTATGAGAAACATGGAACTGTTATCATAATTTTATAAAATCCAATAGGATATTTTCTTAGTAATAATTAGGTTTAAAATAGTAAAAGGTAATTCTAATGTAATAATATATTGCGTAGGTTCATGATAATTCTGATCAATGTGTGAAATATGTATATTCCTGACATAGCTTAAATATTCTGATAAGGTAAATTAATGAAATAAAACAACTTAAGTACTTTTATGTTGCGTTTAATATTACATATCATCTACATTTTGAATTAAAATATCATCGAGAAACTGTGCAGGGGGATTTATATTTTCTTGGTATCTGGCCCAGCTCAAATACCAAATTATTGTCATCACATGAGCGCAGCAACCTACAGTTCTGCGCCCAACAACACAATTACAACAATAACGGCATAGACGGCAATAGACTTTATGATGTCGCCTACCATCTATATTAATTGTCTTAGCACATTTGCATGTAGTAAAAATGATAATAAAGTTGTGGATATTAATACCACCCGTGTAATAAAAAAAAATATTTTATCAATCTTTACAAAATAGATTTGTTTTGATGTTATATAAACAACCTCGATCAGTCTTTGAGAATGTTACTACACCCATAGCCAATAAAAATGATTCGTATGTTTTCCAAACCGGTATTTAAAGGTGGCCGTTAAAATCTAATGACTGTAAAATAAAGTATAAATTACGCCAAGAATTACTGTATATGTCAATATTTTATTTGCATTTAGGCCAATTTGACCAATCTCCTTTGTAGGTACGCGGTACGCAACATAAGCGGCCGTATCTTTTTACAAGCTTTTATTTAACTTGCTATGTATGTTTGTTACGGTCAAATCTTACAACTCAATTTTAAAGCACTTGCCCTCAACCGATTAAGCTGAAATTTGGTATGCTCGTTCAGTTCGGATGACAATGCATGATTAACAGCGTGACGTCATTCTAAATCCAATATGGCGGCATACCCAAAATGGCGGACCAATCATTTTTAATGCATTCCTACAATATGGGTATTAAATTAAAGGGCTTGCTGAGAGTAACTCGAAAAAAATGTGACGTCACTCTCAATCCAATATGGCGGACTTCTAAAATTTGAAAATCTATTTAGAAACAGATATCTTTAACTAATTTAGTTGAAATTTTCTTTTTTTCTTTTTAGCGCATTTGAATAAAAGCTTGTTTTTAAAAAGGTTTTTTTTACCTTAATTTTTTTACGTTAAGTTTAAACTTTTTTTACAGCTTCAAGATTCCGTTGGCCTGAGTATATGGTTTTTAACTCGATATATCTACGCGTTTCAGAAATGAAGGATCTTGACAGACAGACGCACAACAAAGTGATCCTATCCTATAAGGGTTCCGTTTTTTCTGAAGTAGGGAAAACTAAAAATGTATTGTTGTCAACATAAATTTTGAAAAGTGCATTATATATTATTATATTACTAGCAAACCAGTGAACCAAATGTTCACCAAAAAAAAAAAAAAAAGATGTATTTAATTAATTAAGAACTTCGGAGATTTTGTGTGGTTTCGTTTGAAATAGAAATCGCGTGATTTCTTGAAAACCGGAAGTGCTACGTTACTCACATCCGGTTTGTAGTCTTATCAGACTATTCTCAACTTATAACTCAAACATTCTCTTTATCTATCTCTTACGGTTTAGCCGCTGAAACAGCACCACGGACGGACGGACGGACGGACTTGTCTAATAGATAAGAGATACACTTTTTTCTATATGTGTTTGTATTGTTGCAGCATTGTCATAATTCATAGCCTGAACTTCCAGAAGATGTAGACTGAAGAGTAGTCACCTTTCCACTGCTAAACGATAATATGACGACCTCAAGGCCGAGTGGTTTGTACGCCGGGTTTCATGGTGTCGCCTACTCTAGAGGTCCCGGGTTCGAATCCCGGTGGGGGCAGATGTTTTTGTGATCAATACGAGCATATATACTCCAGTCATGGACGTTTAATATGTATTTCTTTATAAATATACTTATATTTGTACAGTATATGTATTCTATCCGTTACCCTAGATTCCTATAACACAAGCCTTACAGTGCTTATTTTGGGGCTAATTGGTGTGACAAAAAAAAAACTCAATAAAAAATATTATTGGGAAAAGATTGTTTTCGCTAAACAAGGTTCTATTTATATATTTTTATTAAGCATGTAACTGCTTGATGTTTAAATGTAAAGAAAATATAACTAGAAAAAAATCCACGCGGACCAGGCAGCAGACAGGACTCGAACCCGCACCCTTCGCTATCCGGGCGAATACACTGACCAATTATGCTACCGCGGCATCGAAATTCCTCTAGCGATTCCTAAGCTGCAAGGCAGCGCCATCACTCGCATTGCAGGTAACCCACAAGGTAAGGTTCTATTTGGTCCATATACTATTATGGTCCGAATACTGCCGCATGGTTTGGCTCAAGGGTACAACAAGATCCTGTTTAGTTATTGGACATTAGCCAAACGCTTTTTCATGCGTAGGAAAATCAATTGGCAAAAATGATTGTATGTTTTGATGACAACACAAGTCATGAGTCAGTAATGGCAAATTTCTATCAGCTACACCATCGCGATCGTGCGGATACAATAGCGATTATAGGTACTATAATATGTGACATCCCGACAGTTTTTTGAATTAATGACTTCTTTAGCGGCGTTGTGCTTTTTTCGTAATGGGTAAAAACTATCAAACTCGTTTTAGGACTCGAAATCAGAATCGAAAATTCGTTAGACGAAAACAATAAAATTAGAGAGGTTGTTGACTTTCAATATATTGTACGAAACATTATAATAATAAGTCTCTAATTAAGACGTCCAGGCGGCAGCTTTATTGCGAAGAAAATGCATTATTTTTATAATAGATGTCGCTAGGTGCGCTTAAATGTGATTCATGTAAGTTGATTTTTCTGCGAGATAAACTTTTTAATGTAATATAAATTGACATGTTTGTATACGATAGCGCAATAAATAAATATTGTATTCTACCGCATAAATGATAGTACTTTTATACTGATAATTTAAAGCAATTCGTGCAAAATTATTCCCTAACCATTCCAAAATATCAAAAATGCACAACGTTAATATTCAAGTTTTCACTTCTGCCGGCACTCCCGGAGTACAACCCGTCGTTTTTTTTTAAACGAGGCTTAACAAATTACATCTCCACTAAATGTTAAATATAAGTGGAGTCTAGTCGCGAAGAAAGGTTTCTTTGGTTTTTTGACGTTAAATTGTTAAATTGCATAGTAATTTCATAAGTGTGAATGCAAAAATCATGAATTCATTAAATGATTTTGCTGCACCCATACACTGGTTACCAGTTTATTGGTGTTATTCCAGAACATCACACTATGTGTGCATGGTGAGGGGTAGTTGGATCGTAAATACACTGACATTTCCGCAGTTGTTTGCGGTTGTCGCAGTGGGAATTCTCGAGTATCGCACTGCGCAGATCTTTACCCCTAGCACGAACCTTTATCGAATTCGAATAGTTTGCAAACCGAAATGACAATGTCAAATTTTGTATGGAAACTTGAACAGCAACGGCACAAAGTACGTATCGAGAACTAAAAATTAGTACACATTTGACAATGACATTTCGGACTCGCAAACGATACGAATTCGATATTGGTTCATGCTAGGGGTACTGCTCTTAACGTCCAAAGCGATGTCGTCCACTGAAGATATTCGGTCTTGTTAAAGGATATGTGATTCCGTGTAGCTATTGTGAGTAAATTTGCAAGAAATTAATGGAACATGCGTAATAGGCAATGCGGGATATTCCCTGGCACCGCAATCGCTTCAAGACTATGTTCAAGTTCTGCCTGTTCTAAGTCAACCTTGAACACGATTGAAGACTACTCGCCTCGCATTCTAATGTAAAACAACGAAGTAAAGAACATTGTTTAACAACTACGCTACTTAGCTCAAGAAATAGGGAGCCGCTCGTCAAAGAAGCTCATATGCACTAGTTTTTAACTAGGCAGCGCTACATCGTCCCCTTTTTAGGGGACGATCGCATCCGATGAAGGGTGGGATGGGTTTTTTAGTCAGTAAGTCTGACATAACCCTGCGGCCGGCTGTGGGTGTGCTCAGCAAGGAAGAAATAATAAAAAGGGACCAATGACTAAGGGGCTGTCCATTAATCACATGAAGGTGTTTATTGCAATTTTTTTACCTAAGAGACCCCTCACTAGCGTCGTCGATAAGCGAACTGACGCCGCGTCAACGTTGCGCTGACGCTGGCACGGCCACGACGCTAGAACCCCACATCTAGCGTCTGTTAGGTAAGTCTTTTAATGAGAAGGTTAATACCATTTTGGTGTTGTGCGTGGAGTAGTCGCCGCGGTGGAAGCACTTGCGGTAGATGGACATGCACGATATCTATGTGTGAACCATACACGTTACAACGGTCGCACGGACTTCGGTCGTATGTTAAAAGTTCGATCGTAAATGGATTGTTCGTCGAGTGGACTGAAGCACCAAGGTCATGTAGCCGGTCTGTTAAAATACTTATCGACTTATATATTTAACACTGACCCGTCCTCCTTCATGACGGACTTGTCGCCGCAGTCGCAGGCGCCGCCGGCCTGCGACAGGAACATGTTGAAGTCGTGCGTGGAGTGGTCGCCGCGGTGGAAGCATTCGCGGCAGATGGACATGCACAGTTTTTATGTGTGAGCCATACACGTTACAACGGTCGCACGAACCGTCGCACGGACTTCGGTCGTAAATGGATTGTTCGTCGAGCAGACTGAAGGACCAAGGTCATGTAGCCGGTCTGTTGAAATACTTATCGACTTATATATTTAACACTGACCCGTCCTCCTTCATGACGGACTTGTCGCCGCAGTCGCAGGCGCCGCCGGCCTGCGACAGGAACATGTTGAAGTCGTGCGTGGAGTGGTCGCCGCGGTGGAAGCACTCGCGGCATATGGACATGCACGGCGAGATGCCGCACGTGCGACACCGGTACGCCACCACGCGCGGTATCCACACCAGACCGCATTTGTCGTGTTTGTCATAGCTCCGCACTGTGGACAAATTTTAAAATGAGTTTTAAATATAATAAGAACAATAAATATTTGTAAATTTCTTCACATATTTTCCGCGGGACGACAGAGCATTAAAGATGTGACAACGAGAGAAATATAAAATGTTTTGTTGGTAAAGACCCCTGTCTGTGTTCAGTGGTAAAAACATTTATCCCAATCACAATATCCACAACTCAACGACAATATACTCGTATTTGCCATAAAATGATGTTTGTTATTCAGAAATATTAATAGGAAAGGGTTTACGAAAAAACTGCACAGCAAATATATACGGCAGCCCACAGTCTACAAAAGTTTCCGAAGTTGCAGTCTGTCCATACAGAAAATAGACTACAACTACCCGCTCCAGTCCCCGTAGCATGACCATCACAATTTACATTATACATATCACTTTTTTATCAAATTCCTTAGTATTTTGACAATTGAACGTGATAAAAACGCGTTATATATCATATGACTGTGCTCATGTTAGAGGGTCAGGAAGTGGGGAGCTGTCGTATGACATGTTGTTTTTCGCTTCAAGACTAGCAAGTACAAGAAAAATATAAAAAATCGGGTAGCATCTCCCAGTAGAGTATTATCTCCCATTAGAAATCTTGAAATAATTAGCGCCAATCCATGCATTATCCATCCTACACAAGCCTATAGTGCTTACTTTGGGGCTAGGCTAATTAGGGTTACCTACCATCTTTTTTTTCTATCAAATATATGTAGTACTTTCGAAACTGTTATCTCTAAAAATATATTCAAAAATAAAGTAAAAATGTTAACCACATACTATATTAAATGCGAAGAGATGGCGCTGCCTTGCAGCTTAAGGCTAGGAAAATTTCGACGCGTCTAATAGGGCCGTGGTAGCATAATGGTCAGTGCATTCGCCCGGATAGCGAAGGATGCGGGTTCGAGTCCCGTCCGCTGCCTGGTCCGCGTGGATATTTTTCTAGTAAACTTTTCTTTAGATTTAAACATCTAAATCATCTTCAAATGTTTAATACTTGAAAAAGTATTCATTTGCAGCTTAAGGCTAGGAAAATTTCGACGCGGCCAATAGGGCTGTGGTAGCATAATCGTCAGTGCATTCGCCCGGATTGCGAAGGGTGCGGGTTCGAGTCCCGTCCGCTGCCTGGTCCGTGTAGATATTTTTCTAGTAAACTTTTCTTTATTTAAAAATTGTTATCGATGCCAAAATGTTTGTGATGAGAAATAAACGATTTATTATTATTATTATAGCGGTTTGCGTCAATCATTCAAGAAAATCAGTTATAGAGTGTTTCACAAAATATACACTACAGTGTATCCTTATCATGTTCTATACATAATGAGACGGATAGAATGCCAGAATCAATTCCATTGTCCAGGAAGGGTTCGAGTTCTCCTGTTGCAATTTCCACGCTTCGCTTACGCACACAGACAGTACACCTTCCACGTTGTGTTATTTATGGTTGATTGCCATAACCTACAACTCATACAAAACACAAATAATTATTGGCCCGAGCTGAATGAGAAAAAAAGACCTTATAATTACTTACAGAGGTTTTTATGCGGGGACGCGTCCTAATTAACTTTCAAGTGAAGATTTATCGACTAGTGTAAATGCCAGCTCAACAGAATCAATATCCGTGTTTTTATGAAATTACTAGTGGCCCGCCCTCGCTTCGCTTCGGTGTAGAGCTGTAGTGTAGACTAAATTGATTCATATAATTATAAAAAAATCTGAAAATGGTATATTTGCCTTTTCCAAACTTTTATTGACATCACGTCACTCAATTGTTTTGCCTTTCCGGAACCTCTCCATTAACATTTGAAATTTATGGTATGGTATTAAAGTTCAAATTGACTTCTAAGTATTACTACGAATCGTTTGTATGGGAGTATAGAAAAGTGTAGTTTTTGGACTTTTTAAGGCATTTTTTAAAAAAAAATCTCTGCGTAAGAACCTCAATCCTCATACTTCAAGGAATATCCTAAAAAAAGAATTATCGAAATCGGTTCAGCTGTTCTCGAGATTTGAGCTTAGCAACACATTCAGCGATTCATTTTTATGTTATAGATAATGACGGTTAAGGCCAAAGGTTCAAAATAATAACAATCTTTAATATAGAATGCATAGTAGGTTCTTACCGGGGAAGAGGTTAGATTTTTAGGGTTCTATGCACAAAGTGAAAAAACGGGACCCTTTTATTGTTCGTCTGTACAGCTAGACAGTTAAAAATTTCACAGATATATTTATGTTGCCGTTATAACAACAAATACAACAAACTTGTTTTTTTTGATGTGTAACATCTTTCCTCTAGCTTTCCTGCAATTTGTGGGAATGATTTCGTGAAATGGGACGGAAGTGTGTAACAGGAAGTCGCGAAAGCGCGCGCTATTTGATTTGATTTTAGAACATATTGTTCAAATGGCTTATTACTTTTGTAGTAGATTTTATTTCTTTCTTTATTACTATAAGGTGAGGTTTCAAATGTTACACATCATACGCGACTACTGTAAGGCTCGCTGTGTTTGTCTTTTTGTGCTGTTTATTAATAACGGTATTAGATAAACGCTTGAAATGTTCAGAAAATTTTGCTGCTTATTCACTTAAAAATAAAAAATTATATTCAAATAAAAATTTAAGGGGGGCTCTCCTACAACAACAGATGTGATTTTTTTGCCGTTTTTTGCTCGATATTATAATAGATAATGGAACGGTAACCTTCGTGCAAGAGTCCGACTCGCACTTGGCCAGTTTTTGATGTGTAACTAATCTTTCCTCTCGCTTTCCTGCAATTTGTGGTTATGATTTCGTGAAATGGGACGGAAGTGTGTAACAGGAAGTCGCGAAAGCGCGCGTTATTTGATTTGATTTTAAAACATATTGTTCAAATGGCTTATTCCTTTTGTAGTAGGTTTTATTTCTTTTTTTACTAATATAAGGTGAGATTTCAAATGTTACACATAATATTCGTCCATTGCTGGACATAGGTCTCCCCTAATGCACGCCACTGCTCCCGTTTCTGTGCTACTCTCATCCAGCCCACGAATATCATCATCCCATCTTGTCTCAGGGCGTCCTACACTACGTTTACCGAGTCGTGGTCTCCACTCAAGAACTTTACGGCTCCATCGGCCGTCAGTTCTGCGGCTAATGTGACCAGCCCACTGCCACTTCAGTTTGCTAATTCGGTGGGCTATGTCGGTGACTTTGGTTCTCTGTCGGATTACATCATTTCTGATGCGGTTTGTGTGATGAATACGAGCATTTGTACTACAGCCATGGATGTTTAGATATGTATTTATATACACACATCAAAAGTGTCTAGGGATCAAGCATTTTTATGCGGATTTCTTGAGATTGAGATGTGGCTTTGTAATAAATTTATGATTTTATAAATTTATATGGATCCTTTTTGGTGCATTTCATAATTTGAATCAGGAACTGTGAATCAAATTCGAGTAAAAGATGAAAATCAGCTGTCAATATTTTCCCTATAAAAACATACAACGCATTGAAGACATTATTAGTGCTACTGTTTCCCTACTACTGATTAAAACCAACGTTATTATGGAGCGGCGACGTCATTTAAGCAGGGAAGAAATGCTCAGAGCCGTGGGAATGATAGAAGCTGGTTCCCGGCAACGTACTGTGGCTTTAGCTCTGAATACAAGTCAGAGTGTTATCAGTCGACTTTGGACACGATACCGAAGCACTGGTACCGTGGCTGAGCGCCATGGAGGACGGTATCGCTGCACCACACGGAGACAAGACCGATACATTCAAATCTTAACTCGAAGAGCTCCAACAATAACCGCCATGATGTTAGCCGTGAGGCTTCATCACTCTTCAGGGAACTTAATTAGCGACCAAACAGTCAGAAACCGCTTGCATGAAGTGAACCTTCATTCCCGAAGACCGCTACGGGTACCACCTATAGCAATGCACAATCGTAGGATTCGATATCAATGGGCTCTTGAACACAGAAATTGGGCAGAAGAACAATGGCGTTTCGTGTGCTTTTCTGATGAGTCTCGTTTTGGTATGAGACCGGATACAAGACGTATACGACACTGGAGAACCCCTGGACGCCAACAGCGATTAAAATCCTGCCAGGAAGTCCATCCTTATAGTGGTGGAACCATCATGGTATGGGCGGGTATTTGGATCGGCGGAAGAACTGAGTTGATTTGGATCAGAGGCAACCTCAACGCTCAAATTTATGCTGAGACGATTGTATCAGACGTCATCGTTCCGCTACAAGTGCAAATCGGTCCCTTATTTCAGTTAATGCATGATAATGCACGACCGCACACCGCAAGAGTTGTAAGACAGACTCTCGCCGCAGCTAACATCAATGTCCTGCCCTGGCCTGCTCAGTCGCCAGACTTGAACCCGATTGAGCATGCATGGGATATGCTACAGAGAAGAGCTCTGCCGAATATGGAGGGTATCCAGTCGCAAGAAGACCTTTTTTTGTTGTTGCAACGAACATGGGCGGCCATTCCACAGCGTGATTTGGATGAACTCATTTTGAGTATGCCAAACCGATGTTCTTGTGTTGTTAGTGTTCGCGGTAGAAATACGGATTATTAATTGTTTAAGTTACCCAATAAAATTTTAGAGAAAACTGTTATTTCAGTCTTTTTTTCGAACTTTTGTGTTAGTGGTTCAAATGTCAAAAATCCCTTTATTAGGAAAATGGCAAATTTCTTTATTAATGCAAAGGTGACTTGGTTTATCGTTACTGTGACAAACGAAAACACTTTATTTGTTGAATCCTTAAAGAAAATTTTAATTAATATCAATCAGGAGAAAAGTTATTTCAAAAATATATGTTGATCCCTAGACACTTTTGATGTGTGTATTTTGTCAAAAATCTAATGTTTTAAAATTAAGAAATGGATAAATATGTTTTGTTTTACAATAACTGTCGTCCTGTATTCTCCAGCTTACAGAAAACACTAAGAGGCAAATGACATAGTTCTGCGGTGTGGAAATT